GCGATGAGAATCTCGAGAGTAGGCTCGATGAAGAGACGACGGAACTCACCAGCTTCCTCGCTTGACGAGACATGGCCGATGATTTGACGATGAAGAAATGGGATTGTGATCGAGGCGAGAGAGCAAACCCTGGTTTTGATTTTTGGGAGGTTTGCGTGGCTTTTGTTATTGGGCTGGGCTTGGGCTTTGGTCAACCATTTGGAAAGAGGTTAGGTTGTTTGACTGAGTCGTGAGAAATTATGAGATGCATCATTTTTGCTATATTTTTTAGGAGGGAGTATCTTTAATAATGGGTGTTAAAAGGTGTCCAACTATTAATTTTGAGATTATGGTAATTCCCTGAAATAAAAAATTTTACAAGGGAATATTTCTCTACCGCCTACATTTTATTTTATTTTTTTGTTTTTTTTTTTTTTTTTTGGGGGGGTGTTTTTTTTTTTTTTTTTTGGTGGGTGGGTGGGTGGGTAGGGGGGTATTCATGTACCCTTTTGTTTGTATAATTTCGAAGAAGATCTCGTCATCAATCCTAGACAATAGGATTCAAATCATTAAAACTTTCAGAAGAAAACTAAATAACAATATCGTCTTAACTAAGATTAGTAGGTAATCGATAACAATAATTTACAATTAAAGCTTTTTGTTGAAATTTCATATTCATCCGAAACAATTTCAATATTTTTGTTTAACTTTAGAGAGCTCCCGTAATCTAATGGCATACCATTAGTCAAGTCTCATCATAAGTACTTGAACTCTTTCAGAGTCTCCAAACATACTCAAATTTTAAAAGCTAAAGTTACAGGAAAGTTGCATAAAGATTTTCACCTCTTTTGCAGAGAACTGTCATGCTCTTTTTGTAGTAAAATAAAAATAAAAAGCTTTTAAACATTTCAAACTTTGTTCCAATAAACTATCATGGTCCTTCTGCCATACCTAAGAAAATCAAGTATGCGCTGGCCGTAAGCCCCCAGAATCTCAAAGGAAATGCTGAATCTACTCAAATTGCACCATCAACACTAATTTGCGAAAATATGGAGTACAATTAATGGTATAATGTTTACTATTAAAAATGGAGTTCATAATAAATCTTTTACGGGTGGTATAATGTTTACTATTAAAAATGGAGTTCATAATAAATCTTTTACGGGTGATACCAACAGATTCAAGGTCCAAGGATAGCAAACTTCCTTTGCACTAGCCGGAGACCAAAATGTTCTGATGTATTTCAATAAACATAGCAGCCTTCAGTAACTTGATTATGATGCAGGATTAAACTAGAGCATCAGCACAAAAAAAAATGAAGCATAACCCATCAACAGTTCCATCCATGCCACATGAAGCCATGAAACAAAATTCAGTATCTTTAACATTCTCTTCAATAAAGATGTATGTTTTACACATGCACAGTGACTAAGGTAGCCAACAACCCTGCATAAAAACAACTGAAACACCATAGTTTCAGTCCAAGAAGATGATTCTAGAAAAGGATAATGAAATACAAATCATAGTGGCTAGAAGAGATCATTGCTTTAGCTCTCGCTCCTGCTTTCCTTGATCAAAATCAAAACGGCCACCATAACAGGTAGTGAAATCATCAGAAGAGCTTGTAATATGTTTGGCCTTGTTAAATCCGGAAAAAGAATGCTTCCGTATTTGATGGCAGCACCACCACCAACTGAACCAGCTGCCAGCTTCCACAAGTAATCAGCATCATCCTGCTTTAACAAATGCCGAAAACAGAATTAGGAAACTTAATAAGATACATTTAGTAGCTACAGTTAGAATAAGCTTTGCAATGTGTACCATCAAACTAAACATGGGTCTTTGGTGAGGATAATATCCATAGTCTAAATGAAGTTCTTCAACATTGATGTAACTCAAAGCTAGTACCATTTCCTACTTGTTCATGATCAACATTATATATTCATCTTTCTTTATCTTTTTTTCTTTTTTGGTGATGAAATCTTTGTTCATGTTTTTTCTACATATGTTCGACAAGAAATCAACAATTGATGAAAAAAACCCAATGACTACGATATTTTTCTAACATTTGACAACGAATGCCTAGGCAATACTAACTTGGGTAGTGGATATCATCATGATTTGGGGTACTGAAGCATAATTAGAAGGTCTTCAAATGATCTTGAAATGTCTACACATTTCAAAACCTGATTATAAAGGATGCAATAAAACTTCCTCCATGTCCATTTAGGTTTACCCTCGCCTTGTTCTCCACTAACGTTGACTTATCAATTGATAAACACTGAAATCGAGTCTAACAAGTCACCTTGGTCTTTTATTGGAGGAGTTTATCTGGGTTAATTCATCTTCGAATATTACAGGGAAATAAAAATATAAAGTTTACTTATTTTCCCTTTTTTGAGTATTCATTATTTTCTGGTTAGCTTGACTGCTTGAGTTTGGCACCAACGTGACGTGGCGAATATATTTAAGTAAGCCTTCATGACTTTCAGGCTTTCAAGTTACCCAACACTTTATATTGACAGTTCAAAACTTTCTGGTCACCCATGATTATTTTTTGTTGACATTCAAGACTTTCTTCTCACCTATTTAGTATTTACCACTATAGGACTACAGGAGAATGACGAAGTTCAGCCAATTCATTTAGAAAATATATTTTGCTCTAGTAGGCCACTCAACCAAACCCAAAAGCCTTATTACTAAAATTAAGGGTGGGTATGGGCTGGATCGGCCCCTAGGCTGAACTGGCCCATCCAACTGTGGGTCTTGACCAAGCCCTGTTTATATCGGCCCCGGGGCCAGGCTGGGCCAAGGATAAAACCCGGGAAGGACTAGGCCCGGGCTACTTGGATCCGACCCATTTTTAACCCGGCCCCTTCCGGCCCGAGTCAATTTTAAAAAATTAACCTACCCTCCGATTGCATACCGAATCAAAAAGGATTGACCTACCCTCTGATTGCATACCGAATCAAAAAGGATTGACTATGTATTAACCTTAGGTATGGCTACTTGAAAATAAGAGAAATTTCAAGAGAGTATTGTGTGCATAAAATAAATTTGTGAATAGAGTGTGATCAGAATATCTCAAAAACTTCAAGAAACCTGAAATTGAACATGTTTGGTGAAATATTTGAAAAATCTTGAAGAAATAAACAATATAGATGCTATTTAAAAAATAATTTTATAAGTATCAATACAAATATAGTAAATAAAAAAAGGAAAAAAAAAATTAAGACCATGGGTTGAATGCAACCCGCACCATGTGGGCCAGGTCAGACCCAGCCCGAACCTATACGGGTCATGGGGCAGGCTGGCTCGACTCCCAGACCGAAGAAGAAAGAACTAGGCCTGGCCTATGAGGGTCGGGTTAGGTTCGGGCTGGTACACGCGTCGAACCCGGTCCGGTTCATGGGCCCATATGTCCACCCCTAACTAAAATGTTCAAACTGTATGAAGAAGCAAAGAAAAATAGACCCGAGGAGGAGAGCTAAGAAGCCATTAAAATTAGATGATAAAGACATGCCTCAATAAAAATCACCTTAGGGAAAATTGCCTTCTTGACAAGAGAATGACTCCATATTGTTTTCAGCTCCCTTGCCTCCAAATTTCATTAACATGTTTGAAACCCGAATAATTTTTTTCATTTCAGAAAACCCCATGGACACCGTAGGACTCATCCAGTACTGTATAATGTATATACACAAGCAGATACACATTTATGCAAACATTTTGAAGATTACTAGAAGCCCATGTAAATAGGACTGTATATCTAACCTCAAGCAGTGTATATCTCTATTAGCAAATATGTGAAAGGGTAAACCTTGGAGTACCTAGTCATGTCTCTTTGAACATGTAATCCTTCTTATAGTCTACAGATATCTTTCTATTCTATTTTTTTTAATTAGGTAACTAAGTTTTTCCATATGACCTAGGTGATTTTGAATGTTTTTGGATCATATAACAAGTTGCAACTAGTTGCGATTTCAGATTTCAAAATGTTAATACTCAAATGGAATAGTATTCAATTGGTTCGTGGAACCGATGTGATTGTTGGATAAAACATGCAAGAAAAGTATGGAGGAATTGAAACTTTCCTTTAACAAAAGTTAGCTGAAAACTAATTCCTTCTTTCTCTTGTTGATATTATTCCAATTATAGTGCTAACAGCAAATGAGTAAACCGAGATTATTGCATCCACGAGTAGCTGACCTAAAACATCAAAAGGCACCTAAATATTTCTAAAAGGGACATCAAATTGGACTTGACTTCTATTTAGCTATTGTTGGGTGCAGATTGCAATGGAGAAGAAAGAAGAATTACTACAGGTGATTCCTAAGAGTTGAAAATAGCCGACAGGAACTAATGGTAATTAAGGACCAATATCATCCGTATATTTCACGTCATTAGTTGACAAGCTACAAAAGAACTGTGGCCTACAATGTCTTCCTACATGATTATGGATCAAATATTGCTACAGTCAAGAGAATTTCCAAAATTCTGTTTTGACCTGTGAACTTGAGATTCCACTTTAAGAAAATCAAAATCCAGAAACGTTACAATCCTTCTAGCCTTCTACCCTCCAAGAGTTAACCCAATTATTATTGATATGCCTATAGTCAAGTGTGCGTCAATATTTAATTTCAGATAATTGACAAGTAAATTTTAAGACATGTAAATATAAAATTTAAGCTAGACATTTCCTATGTAGATTAAATATCAAAACATCTATAACCATTAGTTAAAGCAATTTTTTTACTAGGGAACAAACCTCTTCCACACAAACAGAATCATTGGTTTGACGATGAGGAATCCCCTCTTTCATGGTGATTTTATTGATTAGATGTAAGAGGGATGCAGGAAATAACCATAGGTATAAACAATAAAAAATTCATAAGGTAATTAGGCCACTGATTGTTCAAGCTAGATATCAGATCATTCTGAGGGGGCACCTGCTTTTTCTCTAGCTAAGCATCACCTTATCGATTTCCCAAAAAAAACCATTATGGTGAAAAATAAATATTTTTTATATAATCTATTATATCATTGTTGAACCTATTAAACATTTCCAGAAGATGAGTATTTTAGATAAGGAAGTCCCGTCAAGTGCCAGTAATGCTGAATGCTAAATCCAATTAAAACATAGGAAACTTGCCAATCTAGGCAGAATCAATCAAGCAACAAAGAGAATGAAGATTTCATGAGTAAGATGTAGTCATGAGCTGTTATTCTAATCATCAATTCCAGCACACCCAACTCAAAGCAAGAAATACACACTGCATTAGACCAACTTTGAGCGCCCACCTGCTACATTACTCACAAAATGATGCGATGCCTGTTTTCATGAATAGACAGGTAGCACTTTAACAAGGGTCATAAAAGTGGATATAGATATTCGTGAAGATATTGGCATCCATATCCAGCTACATACAAATATGGATGCTAATATCTGTATCCTGTCGGATATCAATACGCATTTCACTATCTTTAGTTTTATGGATATGAATATCCGGATATCTAACAAGATTGAACTAGTAATTTTTGACCTTAGATTAGTTGACCTAACGTTTATGTTGGTTATCCAGGGATCTAGTCCTAGATTTTTGGCTCAGCCTAACATTTTGGTAGGCTTTAATTTGTGAGAATCTGTTGCTTTTGGATAGCTCCTGAACACATGACATGTATGCTTCCGAGTCTTTCCCATTTTCTGCATATACTACAAGTAGTTCCTCACATATAAACTATATTTTGGCAGACGTGGATATGCGTTTTCCTTACTGATGGATCATTGTGTTCCTGATATGGATATGATAAATGCCAAATCCAATTCATTTGCATTGCACCCATCAAGTTCTTAAGAAAAAACATAATTGTAAGAAAGTTGTGAAGGTTCAGTCTTCAAAAATAATTTAGCAAGGTTAAATTTCAGATATAGAATCTATAAGAGCAATATGAGGTCATAATTAATATTTATCTGAAATATTTCCAAGCTCTTCCAACTGTACCATCTTAAGCCCTTCCAATTTCAAAGAACCATGATCACACTTCCTCACTTACAAATTTTGTTTCAGTCTCCTAATCTACATATATACTTTCTTATTAATCAAATGTACCATCTTCTTCTATTTCTCTAATCATATCTCATGCATAACACAAGCTGAGTTAGTGGTGCCTTTTCTTCTTTTCAAATGAGTCTCTTTTGAATGCCTTGCCTACTCATTCTATGCTTAAACATAGCCATGGGCTGCAATTCCTTCTTATTATCTCCCTATTTGCATTCCATCCATAATCTTGAACTAGTTCTGAGTTCTTTTCAAATGGGTTCCAACTAAAATTCTTATCTACCAATCCTATGCATAAAAATTGAACTTTTGCCAATCTCCCTGATTGTAAATTGTGAATAATCTGAAGTGGGTCTGCTCCTCTCAGAGCAGCTATTTGCAAATGGGCTTATATATAGCAAAAAAAAAGCAGAGAGAGAGGGAGAGGTAATAAAACTGACCGGAGATGGGAACAACTCATTAGTGGTGTTGGAGCCGTTCTCTTCAGCTTTTGGATCGGAATTTGAAGAACAGCATACATTTGACTTCAGTTTCCTTGGGGTCCATGGATGAGAGAAGCTCAATCTTTGAGTTGGAACGCTGATATTTGCCTTGTTTTCAATCTGAAAAGCAGGATGAAGAATAAAGGAGATCGGTGCGATTTCAATTGCTGCTGCCATCGCTTCGTCTCAACTCTCTCTCTCTCTCTCTCTCTCTCAAATATGGGTAACCCTCTTTTGGCTAGAGCAGCAGAAAGTTAACAGGTCGGGTCTATAACGGAAACCGCAAGCCCGCCTTCTTTTTCACCCTTTTCGTTTTTTTTTTTTTTTCTTGTTAACGTGTGAAAGAAAGAAAGAGAGCTTCCCGTTGAGTTATGTTTAGGAGCTTCTCATTATGTTTAGGTAAGTATGAAGGTATTTATATACACAATTACATAATATAATATGAGATATAAAGAGGGTAGCTACTGTAGATGTAGGCTGGTGGGCGCTGCAGCTATACGTAGTTGCGCACTATAGGTATAACTTCAACACTTCTCTTTAGAGAATGACAATCATTAAAATAGCATCAACGGGGAGATCTTCCTCAAAAAACATCAAAATAAATGACATACTTAAAAACAAAAACAAAAATCAAAGGCTATCAACAAGCCTCCCATATCAAATAACAAACTTTTTTTGCAGCCTAGTTCAACTTAGTAAGTGTGATTATATCTGTCAAAAAAAACAAAAACAAAAACAAAAACAAAGGGTAAGCATGATTAACTCCGAACTAGTTCATTCGCTTTGACCTGCTTGTCTTCATTCTTCCCTTTCTTCAACTTGAGAAATTGATGCCAGAATTAGAGCTTCGTGAAAGCCCGAGAAGAACTCTTTTTGTCATCCTTAGTCCCTCCGCTATCAGCTTCACGAGTGCTAGCAACTGTTGGGCCATTTGCATTAACATCAATGAAGCCGGCTTGAACTGTGTTGCCATCACCCTCTTCAACCTTGTACTAACATCACCACCATCTTTAACAACATCAGCAGCTTTACTCGCACCGGCATCATCTCGAACGACATTAGCTCGATCCTTCAGCTTCACCAGCTTCATCTTGAACAATACCATCGACTCTAACTGTAGTAGCACCATCTTTAACCGCAACCTCACTCGTGCCAGTCGTCTTCGACCGCATCAGTGGCTACGCTTGCGCTAGCACCTTCTCCAGTATTTGCTAAGTCACTAGAAATATTGATCATGTTACTCAGATTTCACCCATTTTCCTCTCACCGTCTCCAACAATGCTTTTTCCACACTGAGCAATAAATTACCGCACTTCTTCCGTAGGGGTCTTCTCTTTGTGAGGATCGCCGTAATAGCATTGGACCTTGAGTGTTTGTCAATGTATTCTCAGACTCCATATCGGCTAATTTTTTTGTGGAACCAATAATGTTTTCAATAGAACTTAATCCAGAAATGACATCATCTGTGTTGTGCGCAGCGAAAATTTCGGCAGCACCTCCGGTGCGCAAGGTGCACAACAAGAGATTAGATCGTAATAAGAATTCTCGTCTCACCAAGGAAACAAGAATCTGAAGCGAATATCTCAACAAAGTGAGATATCGGCTCTTCCTCTCATCAGTTATAGGACTGACTTGTCGAGGGATTCTACAAGCTATTACAAATCACGGCAAGAACACAAATTTTTACGTGGTTCGGCAAATAGCCTACGTCCACGGGGCAAGGAGGGGGGGATCTACTATTAGAGGGAGAGATACAATTGGGGTTTACAATCTCACAAATAAAACCCTCTCACAAACTCTCAGATCCCTCATACAAATACTCTCTCGAAGAATTGCACAAATCAAAGAACAACTACAGCTGCAGTCCCAAGCCTCTGAATTCGCACAAACTCAGCCGCAGCCGCTCCCTATTTTTCCTTCGTAGCCGCCAACAAAGAAGACACCTGCCTTGCTACAGCCGCCCCCTTCTTTCACTGCCTTAGCCCTTAAAGAAAAAATACGAAACCCTAGGCAAAAGCTTTTTTATAAAGCTATCTCGGGTGGGCCTTTCGAACTCAGCCTCATTTCTTCACGCGGTTTCACATGGGCACGTGGGTGTTGTTTTTTCTCCTGGTCTCACGTGGGTGAGGTCCCCACGTATTCACAATTCTCCACCTCGGTGAAGTTTCTTCCAAAACTGAGCCGACACCAAAGCAACCAAAAGTCCCACTTGTTGTGTCCAGTACGAACTCAATCCACAACAAGTCGAAAACCCGAACGAGAGTCCAAACAATCTCACCCCCATCAAAATCAACTAATCCAAATCGGCTGCATCAAATATGACTGCCTACGTATCCTCTTGCCCAAGGAATCAAGCCGAATGTAGTTCACCCAAATGGCCTTCAAATGCCTCAACACTGAAGAATGTTCAAAAGCTCTAAACAGTGACCAAACTTCACTCCTGAAACAATTTTGATCAACATATCCGCAGGGTTATCCTTTGTGTGGACCTTCTCCAATATGACGTCTCCATCATCCAAAACGTCACGAACAAAGTGGAATCTGACATCGATATACTTCGTGCGTGCATGATAAACCTGGTTCTTCGCCAAATAGATAGCTGACATGCTAACACAATATACCCGAAGGGTCTCCTGTGCAATCCCTAAGTTCTCTAATAATCCCTGCAACCACAAAGCCTCCTTCACAGCTTCAGTCAACGCCATATACTCTGCCTCCGTAGTGGAGAGAGCCACTGTAGACTGAAGTGTGCATCTCCAACACACCGGTGCTCCTGCTAGTGTAAATACATATCCGCTAGTAGACCGGCGCTTGTCCAGATCCCCCGCATAATCAGAATCCACGTAACCAATACAATCCTGCCCTGTCTTCTCATTCTTCTGAAATACCAAACCAACATCCACGGTACCTTTGATATACCGTAGAATCCACTTCACGGCCTCCCAATGACCCTTCTCGGGGTCGTGCATGTACCTAGATACCATGCTCACGGCCTGTGACAAATCTGACCTTGTACACACCATCGCATACATCAAGCTACCCACAGCATTGGCATATGGAACTTTGAACATGTATTCCCGGTCCTCAACTGAAACAGGTGACATCTTAGCTGATAGCTTAAAGTGGGGAGCTAATGGAGTACTCACCGCCTTGACATTGCCATCATAACTGAATTTCTTCAGTATCTTCTGCAAGTAACTCCTCTGTGTCAACTTCAACCTCCCCTTCACCCTGTCTCTCTCGATCTCCATACCCAATATCTTCTTTGTTTCTCCAAGATCCTTCATCTCAAATTCGGATGACAGCTCTTTTTTTAACTTTCTAATAGCTGAAGTATTCCTGGAAGCTATGAGCATATCGTCAACATATAATAGCAAATAGATATACTTACCATTCTGTAGCTTGTTCATGTAAACACACGGGTCATATGGGCTCCTCGTGTACCCTCGACCAATCATAAAGTCATCGAATCTCTTGTACCATTGTCGCGGCGATTGCTTCAATCCGTAAAGAGACTTCTTCAGCTTGCATATCAATTCTTCCTTTCCTACAGCTTTGAACCCCATAGGTTATGTCATGTAGATCTCCTCTTCTAAATCTCTATGTAGAAAGGCTGTTTTCACATCCATCTAGACCAAATCCAAATCCAGCTGTGCCACCAATGCCAATAAAATACGAATCGACGAATACTTCACAACAGGTGAAAATACCTCGTTGTAATCAACGCCCTCTAGCTGTGCATATCCCTTGGCAACCAATCTGGCTTTGAATCTAATTTCCCCAATAGAAGATCCCTCTTTCTTTGCATACACCCACTTGCATCCAAAAGCCTTCTTACCCTTCGGTAGCTTTGCAAGTTTCCAAGTATCGTTCTTATGAAGAGACTGCATCTCCTCATCCATGGCTTCCCTCCACCTATTCGAATTAGAGCTTGACTCTGCTTCCTTGAATGTAAAAGGAACCAAATCATCAACGACTTCTGCTGATAAAGCATATGCAACCATGACATCGTTATATCTAGCTAGCCGACGAATGTTTCTTCTTGGTCTATTAGCTGCAATAGACTCCTGAACATGACCATGTTCCTAAGTCCCAACATCCACTGTATCCTCTAAATGCCTGACTGTCATCTCATCTCCTCCCAGTATCGCCTCTGTAGGAGCCTTGATGGATATAGTGCTCTCTGGAGTGAGTGGAGTCATATCATCCTCCACCTACTGCGATATCTCCTGAATCTGGTCTTCCTCCACCTGCTGAGGAACTTGAGACTTCATCATGTACGCCTCGTCAAATGTGACATCCCTGCTAATAACTATCTTCTTGTCCTGTGGATCCCATAACTTGAAGTCTTTAACTCCATCTCTAAATCCCACAAAGACTGCTTTCCTCGCCCTCGGATTCAATTTACCATCATTGACATGGTAATAAGCTGGACACCCAAATATCCGAAGCGACTCATAGTCACTAACTACCGAACTAGACCAACGCTCCAACGGAGTCTTCCCCTGTATCGCAGTGCACGGCAACCTATTCACGAGATGGCTTGCATAAACCAACGCTTCGGCCCAAAAAGATCTAGGCAATCCACTTTGCGTCATCATATATCGCACCTTCTCCAGCAAGGTACGGTTTAATTTCTTTGCCACCCCGTTCTGTTGCGGTGTCTCTCTAACTGTGAAGTATCGTCTAATGTCGTGATCCCGGTAAAACTGCAGAAACGGATCACTCTTATACTCTCCGCCGTTATTAGAACGTAGAGTCTTCACCTTTCTACCTGTCTGCAGCTCCACTTTCTTTTTTCACTTCACAAAAATATCCAGGACCTGATATTTATGCTTCATCGGGTATACCCAATTCCTCCTGGAATAGTCATCAATGAAAGTGACAAAATAGTTGGCCCCACCAAGTGATGTGTGCTTGGAAGGACCCCAAACATCTGTGTGAATGTAGTCCAATATACCTTGGGTATTGTGAATAGCGGTGCCGAATTTCACTTTTGTCTTCTTCCCAAGTATGCAATGTTCACACAGCTCCATCTTACAGGTCTTTGCACCCTTTAATAGCCTCTGCTTCGCCAATACCTGTAGGGACTTATCACCAGTGTGTCCCAATCTCATATGCCATAAGCTGGTAGCATCTTCCTCTATGGTAATAGAAGCTATCAGACCCCCTGTTACTGTCTTGCCCTTCAAGTAGTAAAGGTTGTTTTCCCTGACACCT